GGCTGGGCTGTGGCCAGGCTGCCGACCGAAGTCTTGCGTGTTTCGAAATGTCTCCAGTTTCTGGGTACGTGTGGTGCTGGTTCCCTCTTGGCCCCCTCCCCGCTCTGTTCTGGATGCCCTTATGTTGTCCCCCTCCGTTGCTGAAGGGGGCTGCTTTATTTAAAGGCTTGGGCTCTTCCAACTATCCTTTCACATGTAAAATACAGGTTTTATAAATAGCAAATGTATTCTTATCTCTTTTTCCTGTTGCAACACGCTGCTTTGCTGCTTTTTAAACGAAATCAGTTGTAAGAAATGAGGCAGGCTAACTGAGAAATATAAAATTGTGTCTGTAGTCAATAGCAGTAAGTTGTGAAGAGGACCTGATCCTAGCCACTGCACTGGTATGAGAGGTTCTGCAGCTGAAGTCAGAATAAACCCACCTCTTTACCGCTTCTTTAGAGCAGTGTCTCTAGGATGTACCCCTAGACTTAATGGAAGCTTGCTGGAGTGCAAAAAACTTCACAGTGGGAAAGCATGGTGGGGGGAGATGTTGGTAGCTTAATACATGTTTGTTTACAAAGCTTTCCAAGTGTATACGTGCTGCAGATGGAACCTTGTGTTGAGAACCACACAGTCAAACTTTGGACTTGAGTCAGGTTTCGGCAGCGCTTCCAAGGTGCAGAGATCATCATGCAGTTTGGGGGCATTAATAGTTGAAGAGTTCATATTGGTTTGTTCCCTTGTAATTAAGAGGCATAACAACAGTATGATTGCTATAAAAACATTATTTATTAGTTTACTGCTATGTCATCATAACTTGCTAGTTGTGAAAGAGTAATGCTTTGTTATTGCTACAGAACTTTTCTTCCAGCAAGGGATTAACTACAGTTTTGTGTTTGTAGAAACACTAGTGTGTCTGGATGGTTTTTTTTAATAGTAGTATTTGCTTTCAGGGATTGCGTATACTTATTTCTTCATTGCATATGGACTTTTGTAATTCCTTAAATTTGGTTAAGAGATTAGTGACTACCTGGAAACTCTTTAGTGTTGTGTAGAAATGATTGCATGCAAGGTGGTGGGGAAAATGTACTTGAACATTTACACTTCCCATTTTGTGTACATATACTTTGTCCATGGAAGTTAGTTGTAGACCTGCAATTGAGCAGGAACAGCTATGGTTATAATTTGATATGCAGCTGAACACTTAGGGCACAACAGCAACAAAAAAACCCCACAAGCTGTTTATTAATGTTGTCCGTAATGTATAGGTAGTAAGTGGGTATAAGTTGTCCCATGGACTGAAAATATAGGAATAGATACACTCTTGTGTTTCCTGTGTTCTAGAATGTCAGACTTTGAAATTTGAAGTATGTATGAAATGTATGGCTTGGCCTGTGATTTACAAAGGTTTTCTTATCCTGCTTGACCCCTAGTCAGCTGATTGAGGTACGAATTTTATAAATAAATGAACTGCAGAACTGGACCCATCGTGCAAGAACGCCAAGTACGGTGGCAGATGAAAATTTTTTTTCAGCCCATGATTGCAACATTGTATGATGCTTCTTGCCATATCCAGTGGTACTACCTATGTTTGAGTTTCTCTTCTGTCAAACTGTGAACAGGAATGGATTTTAACATAGAAAGAATTTTATGTGGTGTGTTAGTTATGTCACTGGATCTACCCTTGTGTGTCTTTAGTAATGGGTGTGTAGAATCTTTGTGAAATTTTAATTTTTATTTTTTTCTGTGAACTTTCAGGAAAATCTTTAAAACTTTCTGGTGTGGTTACTGTTCTGTGGTGAAATTCATAGCTTATTTGTAGTCTGAAGCATGCATTTCATGCTTGTACATTTGTAATATGCACTTAAATGTTTGCAAAGTTTAGTTTTATGCTTTTGAAAGTGAGTTTTGTGATGAAAATTCTGAACTATTATATTAATGACAACACAAGAATGAAGTATGCTGTCAAAATTAAGATTCATTAAGGAAGATCTTCAAGTTAAAAGGAAATGTCGTTTCATTTTTTTTGTAGGAAATGCACTGTTTCCAATAAATAGAAATTAATGGAACTTTTTTCTGTCTGCTAGTTCTTCCCCACCCCGTTATGTGAGTTACTGTTTGTGTTTCTCAGGTGTGTTTTATTTTTGTAGTGCTGTTTATCAACAGTAACGCAGTAAGTGAGATTTCCTTTTGGTTGGTATGTGCTTTCAGAGGACTATGGGAGTATGCTGCTTGCAGAGGCTCTGCTGGAAGAATGTTTGAAGGAAAACTTTGCCAAACTGAAGGACTCCATCCCACTGACAGAGAAGAATGAGCCAAAACTGAGTGAAGCTAAACAGTATCTGAGCAGTATCTTAAGCAGAGGAAAACTACGAGTAAGTGGGCTCTGTCATTGTAGTTCCTGACAATGGGGTGCTGCTTTCATATGATTATTGGTTTGATGCAAAGTGTTGGTGTTGCCTGTTCATGTCCCAGTATGTGCAGTGCTGTATTGTAGGTATTACTAATGGGCTAGTAATTCAATATCCCTTTGCAGTGTCTTGTGTTGGGAGACTTGCTTTTTCATATGCCAAAGAATTATGTGCTACAAGTGTATATCCTGTTATTTGTTTTGTTAGAAAGAAGCAGGATAAATATTTAGGAATTCTGGGGTGCTGGGGCACGGCCCCATGATGGTGCTGTCAGGCTAGCACAGCTGAGTGACCTGCTGCTGCTCCTGGTCTTGAGGGAATTGTGTACACCTGGTCAGGTCCAGATCAGAGGTAAAATGTGCCGCAGGCTGCTGTCAGGCACTTAAGGTTGTGGTGTGAGTCCAGGATTACAGCCTTCCGTTGCTTTCAGTATCTGCCAGAGAAGTTACGTGAAGTTATGCTTTTATTTTATTTTGTAGTCTGGGTGTGCGGTTGGTAGCTGCCTGCTAACTGAGCTGCAGAGCTTTAGGAGTGTTTTAAGACCCTGCCTTGATGGCTGCTGCTGTGTTGGTGTCCTAGGATTCACAGTTAACTGGCTTTAAAGAGATGATGAATTACAACTGTCTGTTCTATACTTCTGTTACTTTATGTCCTGAAACTTACAGGCTAATTATTGTGGAAGTGTATGTTATACTTTCAACATGTTAACTTCCAGGCAGTGAGTGTTCAGTGGCGTTTCTGGGGGAGTTCCTTGTCCTTAACTTCTTGAACATCAGTGTATTTAAAACGTGAAAAGGAATTGGGAAGGAAGGGGAGTCTGTCCAACCTTTCTTTGCAGTTTAGCCCCAGTAACAGCCAGAACCACCGAATTCTTCCAGGTCTTGGTGTTAAGTTTGGCTGCATGAATTGCTGTTACTATTTCTTTGTCAGTCAGTGGTGACTTGGCTGCTCATGCAGCAGTGACCCTGTGTTGACTGTGTTAAGAAAAAAAAAATGACTGTGAAGGCTAAGAACCTTTTAATGCTTTCCCAAGCGTAAAAAGGGTCTGAACAGATGTATTTTACTGAATTTTTTTTGCTACACAGATTTGTATGCATGTTTTAAATCCTTAAGAAACCAAACACATCTTAGAAATAGCAGGCACGCCTTCTGTTTTTCTACTGTTGCCTGAAAATTCTTTGATAACTTAAGAAAATTTGGGAGATTTCTCACTCATTAATTAAATGTACAGAGGAGAGGGGAGCACTAGACTGAAAAGTGATGCTTTCTGCCTGGTTTAAAAGCAAGGAATTTTCTTGGTGTGTATGTAGGTAGTTCTGACAACTGCAGGCTTTTATGTGCTGTCTGTGGCTGGTGAATCAATAGAGTAGGTCAGCTGAAACCAAAGAGGTGGCTTGTAAGCTGTGTATTTCCAAACTGAGCTCCAAAGTAGTTGCTTGACCTTTGTTGCCTGCTGCTCTCATGAGCATAGCCCTAAGATCTCTAGGCACTTAAATCCTTCCTACTCTGGCCTGCGGAGCTACCAATGTTGAGAAGAAAGCATTATGAATCTGCGTAATTTGTTCTGAAGTACCTTATTCTTGCTGTCTGGTATTTTAACACTCTCTTCCTCTCCCCCCTGCCCCGTTTCAGCCAAAGTATATGACAGAAGCTATGCTGATCCTAGGAAAGCTTCATTATGTGGAGGGATCCTATAGAGATGCCATTAGCATGTATGCAAGAGCAGGAATTGATGACCTCTCAACAAAAGATGAACCTCTGTACGTGCTGCGTTTGGTAACTGAAGCCTTCGTTATTAAAGGTAAAGGACCAAGTATGCATATTTGAAGTATGCTGCGTTTAAGTTGAAGGTATTTCTCCAAGTGATTTGATTGGAGCAGAGTTAGGGCAATGTTGTATGCTTTAGAAAATCCTACTGAATATGGTCTGTGCAGTTTAAACTTAAAGGTACTATGTAGTCTTAGTCCGTGGTTTTTAAACTTGTCTGGCTTGTACATAAAAGCTTGAAATTGGAAATCTTGTGGTAACTGTTGGCTGTAAGTCAGCAACACACTTGAGCTTGTGTGTCCATTTTGGGAAAATCTAAATCAAGTGCTCAGCTGAATTGGGGCCTCTGCTTTCTCTTAGAGTTAACCTACTTGTAAATTTTAGTGATTTGTGTGTGTGTCCATTTTGGGAAAATCTAAATCAAGTGCTCAGCTGAATTGGGGCCTCTGCTTTCTCTTAGAAAGAGTTAACCTACTTGTAAATTTTAATGATTTGTGTTAATTAAGGACAATGTTTCCAAGTTTTAAAATCTGGACTAATGGAATATATGCTTTCAAAGCAGGTAGTACATTATTCCAATGCATGTCACACAGTATCGGACCTTATGTACAAACAGGAGTCTCCTCCCCCTTGTAATTCTACAGGCATGGTACTGAGAGATCCTAATAAAAACTGCTTCTATGGGTAGTGAAATTGCATTTCCTTCTTGAGTGTGGGAAAGGAAGATCCTAGTCAGTTTTTGACTTGGGGGGGAAAAAAGATCAGTAATCTCCTTCATTTGCTTTCGGTTCCTTTATAAATGTTGCTCAAGTACTGCTACCTATCTACTGCTTTCTACTCTTTTCAGCATGTCCACCAGCTAATTAGGTGAATGAGAACTCTGATGATCAGATACCTTCAACTGGTATGTAAAAGAGTGAAACCAAATCAACCCAAAATACTGTTTGACTGGGCTGCTAGTATTACTGATAATAATTGGAGTGTTTAATGATCTTACACAGTCATTCTGCTTTTTTGAAAACCTGTGTGCTGCTTTGCTTGCTTTGTTTTCTGTGGCACTGGTTGAATCTACTTCATTAATGAGCTTTTGTGCAGCAGAACTAATTTACTTGTAACTTGCACTAAGACTTGCATGGCACAGGGGAGTGAGTGACTGCCAGTGCATTCATAGCAGTGTATTCGAGAACAACTATTGGTGAACTCCGGGGTCTGAAGGAGATGCACTTAACTCACTGAACACTGCATAGGCCCTTGATGAGGTATGAATGTAATGATAAGGTATGCATGGACACTGATGGAATAACACCATTCTGTGAGGCCTCTTCTGTGGTATTGACTACCTCACTTGCACATGAAGATACTGGGGGGTGGAGGTGTTTGCCTCAGAGGACTAAGCTATAATTTATTTTTTTTCCCCTGATGTTATTTGTCATGGAATTGTGTTGCCCCTATGTTTGTGTGTAGACCATAAGGAGCCCCTGCCATTGCAGAGCAACCTCTGTGCTATTCTTGTTCCACAGTTTTTATCCTTCATGATGGTTATTTTCAGATAAGCCAAAATATGGAGGGTATAGTAAGTCAGTTTTCTACCAAAGTTTCTGAAAAAGTCCAGCAGAGTGGAGCTTGTCCAGCTGAGTCTAGAGAGGGCACTGAGTGCCAGGATCACTGTTCCCTCAGTCTTAGAGAAAAAAACCCTTAAATATTAGAAATTTGGATAGCTAACTATGGCAATAGCAGTGTGGATATAAATTTTAATTTTAAAACATGTCTTTACGGGCTACCTCCGCAGGGCTAGTAACAGCACGGAGTTTATTTAATATTAATTTATACTTTACACTAAAACTTTTGCTTATTCCCCCTTTTCATTTGGTATCACTGGAGAAATTCTGTTGATCCATACTGTATTATTGCCTTTGGTTGAACTACTGTTAGCTTACGCAAGCTGAAATCTTCTTTAAAAACACTCTTGAACGTTGCTGGCAGTAAAACTTTTGCAGGGATCATTTTAGGCAACAATCCAGAAAAGCTCTAGTGCTGTCTCTGTCAGAGCAGAACTGGGGTTCCTCACTTATTTTCTTATTCAGATTTTTGGTAATGACAGAAAGCAGTTGGTTTAATAGAATATCCGTGTTCATCCAGCATTAGTGAAACACCAGAACTTCGTATCACTTCTTAGTATGTACCTGAAACCATCTTGGTTTTGCGTAGATAGTACTGCTGGTTGTGACTATATACAGAATGGCAGTGTAGGCTCTCAAGCACTCAGGATTATGCTGGAAAGGTCAGGGAAGAAAGGTCAAATCAAAGGCACTCACACTTATCCTTTTACTGTTGGAAACAAACAAAAATGTAATGAGAAATATACAGGATACACTGGGGGGAGCTATGGATGAAGTCGGTGGTAGAAATGAAATGTGAAACAGCAAAACAGAGTTTGCTTTTTTTAGAGCACCTTCTGAGCTCCACAGCACTGAAGGCTAGATATTGAGCTAAATCTCTGGGGTCTTCTTCTGAAGGTCTGTAGCGTGTAGGTTCATACTATGGTAAGAAGCAATATGCATTGGCAGCCTTGTGACTGGATTGCAGAAGTTGAACAGGGAAAAAGTTTCTTGCTTGCCTTGCTCACTGAACTTTCACCCAAGGTGAGTATCAAGCAATTAACATTTAAGTTCTTTATAAATGGGGGCACTTGAGCAGTTGACAAGTCACAGGAGAAATGGCAGAGAAGGCAAGACTCTTCCAGTTTCTCAGATGACTACTTCTCCTTGTCCTGTTCCTAAATCCCTGCATTGTGAGCAGTGTGCTGGCTTCTGGCCAGGATGACCTGTCTGCGTAGCACAGGTGCTGTATCCTTGCTTTTCAGACGGGGGCTGATGCTGTTGTCAGGGCTGTAAGTTCCAGCTTAAGCTGTCTTTTGCCTCAGGCTGCCATAGCTGTGTTCAACACCAGTGTAGCGCCAGGACACAACACAAAAGGTAGGCTTCATGCTCTGTGTGCTGTTGTTTTTCTTTGATTCCTTCCTTAGATTGCCGGGTAGCTCTGGTGCTCCTGGGCTGTGGGGTTTTAGCTGCTGCAGGCTAAGGCTGTTGGTGAAAGTAGTGTGCTCCTGCTGACCCTGAATTCTTCCACATATGAACCCACGGTTCCCCAGTTGTGTAAACTCATCCAAATACAGGAGGCTGGAATTTTGTGTAAAAAGGAAAATTAAAAGAACCTGTGGGTGGATTGGTATATTCTTCCTACTCAGAAGGTGGAGTGCTGCTATTTGAGCTAGTTTATGAAATGGAGGCAAATAAGCCTTAGCCTCCTTGTGCATACTCCATCTACGCGTGGAAGCTTTCAAGACCAGGCTGGGTAACGCCCTGAGCTGGCCCTGCTTTGAGCAGCAAGTTGGACCACAGACCTCCTAGGATCCCTTCCAGCATCAATTTTTGTCTCATTTATGTTGCTGAGAATCTGATACTGCATGTCCATGTGCACATGTTATGTTCCAGTTCTGGTAATAACGTTACCTCAGGGTATTGGAGCTACATGATACATTGTGTTCCCTGGGCAAGGACTGAGTGAGATGAAAGTAGAAGTAACTCTTCATAAAGTCTCCTCATTCAGGTTTCCATAAATGAGACCAGTGCATTTCAGCTCTAGGAAGAAATTGTTTCAGTGACACCTCTTACAAACTTTATGGGTTTGGGTTTTTTCTGACATAAATGCAGATTTGCTTTAGAAGGGGAGAAGAAGGGGCGAAGATTATAGAGTGAGAGATGAATCTTTGGGAGAACTAGAGATGAATGGAAGCCTTATGCAGGAAAGAAAAGCAGTGTTCCTATACATAGAAAGTTACTGCCTCTAAAGTGCATAGAAAGAGTTTGTTCTTTTAAAAAGGATAGTCTGGAAGCATGTCTCTCTTTTTAAGTCTTGAGCTTGGGCCATACTTGGTTAGAAATCTGTATTTTCACTGTATAAAACATTCTTATGGTATTGATGTATGTGTATATTTAAATTTGGGCACCTGATTGATATGAGAAAAATCTTAGCATAGGTAACTTTTATGTTGGTATTATCTTAACATAACTGGTTGTAAAAATTACCCGAGTCCCTTTACCTTACCCAGCTACCAAGAAAGCATATGGCTTTGCTTTACTCAGAAGCTAATTCTGTCTTAGTAAGAGCTACGCTTCTCTTGCTAAATCTAGCATGGAAGTAGCATGCACTTTCCTGGCTTTCTGACACTTTTTGGGAATGGAGTTGAATTTCAAATGTATGTTGTGTTGCAAAGCTTTATCTGTGCTGATAGCTGGGGGATGGAGAAGAGTTAGTGGTATTTGTGCTCTCTGGACTGGAGGACTTGTAAACAGTCTTGTCCAAATGCACCTTGATCAAATCTGTAATTGTTGGGGCTTTGTACTGTGAGAATTGGTGGCTGCAAGAGTAGGGAAGCTTTGGTTTTATTCTTATGTTCTTTACTTTGTCTACTGGATTTGCAGTCTGCTTGCTCTAATTTTTCTTTTCATTGCATTTCTGTGGTAGGGATGAATAGCCCTGTTTGGATTCTGGAGAAGATTTTATACTCTGACATCAAGTCAATACATACGGTATTAGCAGAAAGAACCATGACTAACCTGGTGTTGTGTGGGTCATTCTTCCTTCTTGCCCATTACAAGTAGAAAAATGTGTACAGTGTAGCATAGTATCTGTTTTAATACACTGTATGTTGCTCTGTACTTATGTGGCAAGAACCCTTTTTGGAGATGTTCATTTCCCTGTGTCTGATCGGGCTTGCTCTGTTTTTCTGACCGCATGGACAGGCGTGTTTGTTGTCCGTACTTGGTGCTGGCAAAGGCTGCTTGCTTTCCTCCCCCACATCAGAGCTTAGAGATAGTAGCTCCTTGCAGTGGGCTGTAGCATGTATGTAAATGGCTTTTTATCAGCCTGTTCTCTCTGTGTGACATCTCCCACGATAACCACCCCCATACAGACTGTGCTAGGATGGTGCTCGCAGTTTGATTAAATGCTGCATGTATATGAGTGTCAGTGTATTGTACTGGATTTCTTTGGGCCCTCAGACCCACTTTCCCCTTAAGGGGATGTTGGCTCTGAAATGCAACACTTCTTAAAAGCAACATTTCTTAAAATTTATTTTCAATTAAGGGGAGTGACTAGAAATTCAGAGGTAGATAAAACTGAGACAGATCTAAGAAGAGTCATAGAATAGTTTGAATATTTGTAGGCTGATTGTTCTAGCTTTGGCACTGGATGGTTTCTTTTTCTGTATAGAGAGTTAACATCCTCGTTTCCCCTGTATTACATAGCAACAGGGTAAGGACATAGAAGTTTTGAAATAATAGGAAAACAACCCATGATATAAAGCCAGAGACTTCGCAGATGGACTAGAAGACAAAATCTGTTATATGTTTGATGCTGTACAAGATGTATGTTAGTAGAAAGGAGAGAACACAGAATGGCCATTAGTTAAAAGCTGCAAAGTGGTTGTTGTCCCTCTCCCTCACACACTGTCTGTTCAAAGTAAATCTCCTCCCTCCCCCTGCTCTACTCTGGTCAGGATTTTCAAAGGTAAAAGGTACTAAAGTGTGTTCCCTGAAGATGTAGGTCCTTAAAGGAATGTGCTGTTCACCTCTGACTTGGCAGAGGGCAGAAAGAGTGGGGAGCGACCTCCTGAGCTTGCACCAGTGGGGCGTCTTCTCAACCCACTGAACTAACTGCTTGTGTCTGGCTCAAATGTGAGACATAAGGTAGGGAAACTCCCAGCAGAGTAACCAAGGGGACAAAACAGAAATCTTAAACATGAGAAGTAAACAAAGTTAAGACTGCCTAGGAACTTCAGGCTTTTCATCATTCATTGTGGGGAAACCTGGCTCCCCATTGCTGCCTCACAGTGGTTCGTTGTCAGACTCATGAAATGAGCTGTGCCGAGGTGCTGTGCCTCCCGGGGTTGTGGGGGCCCAGGAAGTGTGGCTCGTGGTATGCGTGGTGCCTCCTCACGTGGAGCAGAATCCTTTGCTGTATGCTGCATTAGTCTAAATCGCTTCCTTGGAGAAGCTGTCCAGACAGCTGAACTTTTCTTTTTTCGTCACCTCTGTGGATCTGTTGTCAGGAATAGTAGGATTTTGTGTTACATCTTATACATTTTTAATTAGTATTAGGGAGTGTTGTTATAAAAACAAATTATTAGGAAGCATGTGCTGAACTTCATACAACCTGTGTTGGGCTACTGGGCATCGGGATCGTTGTGTTTGCTGTAGAAAACCTGAGTTTACAAGCAGTGGTGTGTTGTAGAGATCCAGTGTGGCATAGGAACCTGCACTGATCAGAGTAAAATTGGTATGTGGATGTGTAGCCTCTCCAAATAGATTTAGGTATATAAAGGATGTCATAGTGTGGTGCCAGACGAGGATCTGATAATAAGATTTTCATGTAGGGACAATACCTGTGGGTCTTCAATTAACATGCTCTTTGTTTGTAAGAGGTTGGATGATGATACAAGAAGGAGTTTTAGTAGCACAAAACCCATGGTTTTTTCCTTTCTTTGGAAAACAGGGTGATCTTGTGGTTAAGAGTCTCTTGTGCGTTGCCAAGGGCTTACTGTGTGTCCATCTGCAATTTGTGTGTGCTCAGATTTTCCAAGAGAGGCCTCAGATTTTCTGACTTTGTTTTGGTATCATTTTCCAGGGTGTTTTTTTCCCCTCAAAACTGCTGCTTATTGGAAGCTTCACTTTGAAGAGTGGATGCTTAGAAATTCTCAAATCCAGTGCCAGGGTGTTTCTGAAACAGCACTTAACACTGAAGCATCCAAAATCTATAGCTGTCTTTGGAAATATAAGCCGTAGTTTCTCTCCTTGCTCCTCCCTACCAGAAGGATTGTATGTCCTTTCTTCATACAGCGTTTGAAAGGGACTGTAGAAGTGTGCGGTGGTACTGCGTGTTAGAGCAGCATGACAAAAATGCCTTGCATGTGTAGGAATTATGTTTTCCTGGGGGTCTTTTCCTGAAAGAAGAACAAGGGGGGAAACCCACCTATGGCAAAACTTCCCTGTCACTGGTAAATGAAGGAATAACTTGGCCATACTGCTGTTGGTGGGCTCCAGTTAAAGAAGGTGTTGCCATTTTGCAGGTCTGTCACTGGAACGCTCAACCAACTCAATTGCCTCACGTGCTCGCCTGTGTGAAAGGGAGGAGGAGGTCATGGCTTGTTTTGAGACAGCGTGTGTCGTTGCCCAGGTGTACTTGCAGGAGCTTGAAAAGGTAAGAGAAAATGTGCTCAGGGTGTTATCTGGTGGCCTGGGTGGAATTTCCAGGGTTTTGACAGCAAAAAATGATCGGGAAAGGCCAAGTGATCACAGACAATAAGGAGTATGAGAACAAGTTGGAAGGGGTGAGGTGTCTTGGTATAAGCAGTTGCAAAACAGCAGTTTATCTGGTCTCTGTTTTCTCTGAGAATGAGGTCTGAAAACCAGTTTTACCTGTGGTAAAGCACTGAATACTTCAAATTATAGTCAGGCTGTATCTCAAGTTTAGCTCTTGCTAAAGAGGGACTACAAACTTTGCATGGCAAGTGCCAGCATGGAGGAACCCAAGACATTTTACATATCTGCTGTGTAAATGATACACAGTAGTGGAGACTGAGATCCCTAATGAGCTTAAAGGAACCTTTTTTGGGTCAGCCATAGCAGTTTAACTGCCAGTGCTTCGCATTCTCCAAGTAAAACTGAAGGAACCTAAATCGTAAGTAGCAAGTAACTGCTTAGTGGTTGGCTAGGATGCTGAGTAAGGTGAGCACTGTGAGCCCTCCACCAAGCTGTAGTATCTGCCACTGATTTGCTGGGTGCATGCTTAGTGGTGTCTGCCTCTGTAACATTGCCTTGCTGAGTTTAACAGGGCACACCATGTGGTTCCGTGCCCTTCCTTTACTGTACATTATGCTTGACACCAGCAGCACTGGTGGTAATGCATGTTACCTGTTCTGTAACTTAGCGGCCTTTGACCTTCTGACCAGATACATCTGCTCTTCTCACTGTTCCAGGTTTTGCTTTTAATTGCATTAAAACAAGAAAAGATGTGAAAATTCATTAAGAAAGCCAGCTAGCAAGTTTTCTGGTCTGTTTCTTTATAGGAAAAGCTGAATGGCTTTCTAATTTAAAATTAAGTACTGCCCTTCCCTTGTGGGAGGGTGAGTTCCTGTCAGTACTCGGTGCTGTGAACATTTTCACTGACAGCTTGTGTCTTCGAAGAAGGGAAGGAGCTTGAACTGTAATTCAGTCATCTTTTGGACACAGAGACAAGGATGCAGGGTTACTGATAGATGTGCTAAAAGTCCATAGGCCTTTTCTAGTCCTGGTTGTAAACCCCTGCTTTAGAGAGTCCACACGGGGCAACTTTCAGCAAATGAAAGCTGGTTGTTATCAGTAAGGAAGCAAAAGCAAGAAGGATTTGTTAGAAGGAACAGAGGAAAGGCTAAGGTTCTTCCATCAGGACTCCTGATGGCTTACTAACTTTTAGCAACTATTTATGTTACATACGTACTCAAACATTGCATTCATATTTCTGTGCAAGATGCTGGATATATGTGGTTGGAGTAGTCCTTCTGAAGCTCTTGGTGTTAATGTGCAGCTTTCTACTTTATGAAAGGCTGGAAAGTAATAGGGGATGGTATTTCAAAACATGTATTGCATGCAGAGTATTTCATGGAAGTCACTGGATGGTTTATTTTAAAGTTGACTTTGAAAGATATTTTTTTTTTAATAGCTAATGAAGGTGAGTTTTCAAGTAGCCTGAGGAAGAATCTGATGGCAGAAGCTAACATTTTATTGCTGGAGGTGTCTCTGGCTCATGAGGAACTGGCTAGTTCAAACAGTTGTCTATAATTCCAGATATTTCTTTCCTCCGCATGCAGACTTTAAACAACACCCATTCAAGGAGTATCAAGGGCAGCAATGTGACTTACTCTGAGTTTGAACTTTCCTACTTCCTGGAAGCAGCTCTACAGAGTGCCTACGTGACTCATTTAAAGAAGGGGTAGGTGAATGCAGATGTTAATAAAAATAGATAATGTTGCATTTTTTGTCTCGGAACAGATGGAGGCTTGTTCCTTTGTGTGTGTTCTGTTGTGATTTTTTTTTTTCCTGCTGGCTCACCTCAAGTCCCCTGAGTATTCTTCCCTGCCTCCTATTTGTTTCTCTCTGTCTCTCTTAAGAGTCCTAAGCCTCGTTTTTCTTGACCCACAAGTAGGGTGGAGTAGAACAATTTTGTTGTCTTGACTCAGCTCCGTTCCCTGTGGAGATGAGGGGAATTTGACCGTAAAGAGAGAGTGGAATTTGCACTGCTGTGTACTTTTAAAATGTTCAGCCATAAGGCTAGTTCAGAGCTCAGTGAAGTCTTAAGAGGAGTTCTTTCATTTCTGTTTGTTTATTTATGGTCTTAAATGTCCTGATCAATACCCCAAATCTGTGTAGTTTTACTAGAGAGAACACATGCAGGAATGGTGCTGCTCCAGGGTATTTATAATGGCTCTGAAGTAAAGCTCCCAGTGAACCTTGGAATGGAAGAGGAGTTGGTATCTGCAAGCCTACAGTGAATTTTACCTGAGGGAAACCTTCTCAAGAGCAATAAAAAAGACATTGTAAATGCCTGCTTCCAAAGGCCATCGGTGAGGGCACACTGTTCCCTAAAACAGGCCATGTCTTCGAAACATGACCAACTCTGTTTAGCTGATGGAGAGGCTATGTAGGGAGAGTGTCTCTTCACCATGTGTAAACAGTACTTGAAAGAATCGATCCATCCCTAATCCTGTTTTTGCACCATATTATCCCATTTATTCTCAAGGAATCAAGAAAATGAATGTCTCACTGCTGTGTAATATTGCTGGTCAAAGTTTTATAAACTTTTTTTAAGCAAACCATCTTTGAAATTTATTTAATTTTGGATGGCTTTTCTTCCTGGGGGTGAAGGTTAAAAACTGGGAGAAAAAAAATGCCAGCAAAAGTCAGTTTAAATTCTTCTGTAGAAAGTTGATACCATTTTTTGACCCTGGAAGAAGGGTTGCTGGTGATTTAGGGTTTTTTTGCTAGTATTTTATCCCCCAAGAATGACTTACATGCAACTGTGAATAGCCTCTATGTTCCGCATTCATTCATTAAAAGCCTGCATGTACAGTGAAGCTGTACTCATGAGCATATCCATGAGAGATGTCTTCAGGTAAGCTTTGTTTAACCCAAAGGCTTACAAATACACAAAGTCCCAATGTTGTGAAATGACCCCTTTAGTCAGGTGAGAGTACAAGTTTATACTTACAAGTCCATACTTTCTGTACACATAAGGTATAATATCAGTATCACCTTAGCAGTAGGGGACAGGTGTGGTTTTCCTGGGTGAGTTGGTGGTTGACCAGATATGGCACAGCATTACTTTCATAGCCTTTTGCCATTCTCATGAAAACAAAAAGCCAGTAAGCTCATTAACTATGTAGTAAAATAAAATCTCATTTAGAACATATGGCACTGATGTCCTCTAGGCACCTTTTGAATATAAAACTCATTCATGTTCATTTTATTCAGCAACATTTTAAATTCAGTCTTCATCAGTTCAATATATCCAGTGGGTTGTTTTAGCTATTACTGCTTGCTCCTTCCCACGTTATTTTAATGACAGCCTTGGTGGGGGGGGGGAGGGAACCACCACAAAAAAACCCTATAGGAAAACAATTTGGTATAAAAATATGTGTGTGAATTAAGCAGTGCTTTGATTATAAGCTGAATTGCTGCAATAAGAGCAAAATGTTCTCTGTAGTTGTCTCCTGATGAAAAAGCATCCTGGTCGATGCAGTGGAGCTCCCTTGGCTGGGACAGGAGCGGAGCCCCATGTGTTCCTTACCACCTTCCAATGCAAGTGAGAAATACCAGCCAGGGAAATGAAAGGTCTGGTGGGGCTCTGCAGCTTGTCTCTGCCTGTCCCCCCGCAGCTGATGATAATGTGTAGTTTCTGCCACGAGAGGGCATAAGCAGCATTGGCATATATTACGGAAAAAGGAGGGAAGTGGGAAGAAGCTTTTTAGGATGCTTCATGTGTGTAATTTTTTCCACCTGATATTGAACGGCTCAAAGAAATGCTTTTGTTCTCCTTACTGCTTCCAGTATGTTCAGGTAGGAAGTAAGCCTTGGATGATGAATGCTCAAGTTGGCAGGGGGGTAGGTCTTATCAGCTGGGATGTCCTTCCCCAGAGGTGCATGTGTACAAAAGAAACAGCGAGTGCTTTATTCGTGTCTTGCCAGGCAGAAGGGCTGAGAGATGTAAGTGGTGGTGTCGTGCTTTTGTTCGTGCTGGCAGGAGCAGGCATGCTGCTCTTGGAGCGTGGTCAGGGATGCCCTTTTCTCTTGCAGTATGTAGTGGAAGGAAGGCTCCGGTACAAAACAAAGGTCTGGTCTCTCTTTCAGATGTTGAGCTGCCAGCTGTAAGGACCAGCAAGTCTTGCAGCTGTGGAAGTCCCAGATGCTTTTAATAAGATGTTTACTTAAAAATATTGAGTTGCTGAAAACACATTTCCTGCAGTTGTTTGTCCTGCTGCATCCCAAGAAAGCTTTCTTTTATTCTCCAGTGAGCAATGTTGATGCTGTGGATGCAGAACATAGGCAGGCAGATGCTGTTGTACTGAGGAGGCAGCCAGTTGTCTTTCATATGAGCACTGGGGTGTTTTTTCCTGATATGGATGTGTGAAGATTAGGCTTGTATCTTGCTGCCTTTCCTTTCAGAGTAGTGAGCAGGTATTACTGCTTTTTACTGTCATGGGGCTTCGGTCAGGATGCTCTTAGTATTTTCTTAGGACAAACAGGCTTCATCTGTGTGAAGTAAAGGCTGTATACTGTTCTCTTAATGGCACTTGAAGTTAGTGTGGAGTTTCACTGGCAAGGCAAAGAGCTTACTAGAGGATGTAATTCATTTTGGGAGCTCTAGACGGGACACGTTTGAAGAAAATTAATTTCTGAAAAATAAATATTAAGGACTTATTAGAAATCAGATTTCCTTATGATTCCTCAAGTTAGGACCTAAATTTCTTGGAAAACACTGATGAAAGTGCCTAGCAGGGAAAGTTTATGCAATTCTTTCTCATCCCTTCTCTGTCACTTTCTAGAGTGTTCAGCGCCCTTTTTGAAATTTTGTAGGCTTCTGTTGCATGGGCACTTGGAAAGAGTAACTTCATGTATGTGTTGCTTTATAGTAGAATCTAATGTACAAAGGCAGACAGGGCAGTCTACGAAACTGTTTGTCTCTTCTGAGGAATTTATAGGGGCTTTCTTGTAATTTATCTCATTTTCAGTCCTCATAATCTAACCCCGTATCCAGGACACCATGACACTGCAGCTGGTAATTTGGGAGTGAGTCTTACTGCCTACTGGATGCATCTAGATAAGTGCTAAGCTTTTGGTTTGTATTGTTTGGGTTTTTTTTTTTTTTGAGCACCCCACTTCTGTTAGACAGGCTGCCTTTAGGAAACCCTAATGTGCTGCTTTGTAGTTGCTTGTCTTGTGTGTTCATTTGTAGGAATCTGAGGCTTGCTTCTTCAGGTGTGTTTTGTGCCTATGCATGAGCAGCTGTTTAAGGAGAGAGTATGAATTTTTAGAAAGTGGGCAAGATGCAGAGATGCAAAAGGAGCTGGGTGGAGGCAATGGTGTTGCTGCTGTTCATGTGCTTTGGGTACTGCTTTCACCTGGAGAGGTGGCTCTGCAAGCTGCCATGTAGTCATGTTGAGAGGTTCTCTTCCGTCTGTCAGGAGAAAGCTTTTAACCATTATTAAGTGGGGACAAGAACATGATCTTCTGGTGCCCATGTTGTTGAGGGACTATCTTTGCAGACCTCTGTGCCTGTAGTCCACTCTGATGAGGACATCAATACTTTTCCTAACAATTTGCATAGAAAACAGTGTATTTCTTTTCTTCTATCTTAAAATTTTGTGTAGCATTAACCAAACAATATGATAAATGTGATACGCCTGCTTTGATTCCTGGACTGGTAGTTATTTGCCCTGTATTAACAGGGTACTTGTACAAACAAAACAGATTTTCATGCTAAGCTGGACTGACTGGACTCAAGGTGCTTTTTGTCACAGTTTGCACCCATGATTTTCTGTGTTCCTCGTTATTAGATTAGCTATAATTAAATCCTAAACCTTATTTCATCATGTTTTTTTAAATGCCTCTCTTGCCACTTTTCATGGCTAAAACCAAGGCGGTTTAATGACCATGTGCCTTTTCCCTTCCTGTTCATCCTCATTTTTTTTTATGGCATCTTAGCAGTGCAATAGGGGCCCATGGACTCTTCCAACTCATTTAATTTCCATGATGTTCACTTACAATGCCATGGCTTGAGGCAACAGTACCTGGGATTTCCACAGTCTTCTATCCACATCCTGCACAGGCTCAAGATTCCTTAGTTTCTAATCTAGACAAGACCAAATGGATTCACCATGGATTGCCTGAGGCTTTATGTTTGCATCCTCATCCACTTATCTATGTACATGTATTTCTGTTCAAATACATACTTTTCTTTTTGTTAACTTCTTCAGGTCCTAATTTAAAAAAATCTCTTCAAGTGCAGTATTAGTGTATGAAGGACATCTATTAATGGAACAGTAAAATCCTTATCGTTATGAGCAGAGCAATTCGTATGCTTAAAATGAAATGTGTGCTCATGATAGCCTCCTGGCTTGGAACAGTAGAGCAGAAAGAGAAACTCCTGTGGTGAGGTATGTTTGCAGACTGCTGGCAGGTGTGCTCTGTCTCCTGTCATGGCTCAATAATGTTTGATAAAGTTCAAAATATAAAAGCTGCCTAAACAAATCATCAGTCCTGTAGAACTGATACTGTTGTCAGATGCTTTGCGTGTTTCAGAGTTGAGACCTAGGCATGGAGCAGCTGCTCTCTGAGGGACCCTGACCACACAAGCACCTGTCTGGGAGGTGGTGAGTGCAGGGTGCTCCTCCTGTGCTGCCCATTTTGCGCCCCTGCCTTCTGTTGAAGGTGTTCTAGGCATTTGTCATGTGGTTCATGGTTTCAACCCTGACTACTTGCAGATGGGCAGCAATTTGCTATTTATTCTTTCATTCATTTAATTGCTTCAATATCCTTTCCTTTTCCTGTCTCCTCCCCACTAGAGCAAGGTGTTTCTGCCGTGAAGCTTAACTTGGTTTATAGCCTTGAGAATAAAACTGTCTCTCTTTAGCACATTCTCTAGGTTTTCCATATCTTAAGTGTGTGCCGAATGTGGAATTAATTGGCTTTGCAGGAGGTCACTAATCTTCTTTCAGGTGCTAGTTAATGGTATTCATTTATTAAGACAAATACCATTATCCTAACAAGAAATCTAAACATACACATTTCTGAAAGTGTTGTAGAACTGTTATATACCATAACTCCTCTGTCCAGCCTCGTAAGGAGCCCAAGGAAGCACAGGAAATGCCAGTAGTTTTCAGTAACTGAGGAGAGCAGTTGGGCAGGTGCATTTTGTTTAGATGGGGGAATTTATTGATTTTTGACTGATAATAAATAGCATGTGAACAATTCTGTTGGATTTTGTGTGAGTACTCAGTGCATAAATATCACCACCTGCTTTATTGCTTTCCTCAGTTTAAGGTCCAGAACTGCATCTTTGTGGATATGTTCTTTCCTAGACCCACAGAAAAGCACCAGGTGTCTTGGCCCTGTAATTAGAGAGCTTGCTGAAGCATTAAAGTCCAATTTACAAAAACCTCCTTGAGCTTTTTTCCCCTTGATAAATTCAAAGGACATCTTTTACTTAGGAGAAAGTGTAAGGAAAAAAGACAGCATCTTACTTAGGAGAAAGTGTAAGGAGAAAAGACAGCATCTAGCATCTGACTTTCTCCACAGGGGCAAGTCTCCAGTGTTTTTGCTCTTGCCTTACCTTGTTACTTGTCTGTAGATTACCTAGTTTTGGGCAATCTACAGATTACCTAAAAGTTTAAAATTTTGAGATTAATATTGATTGAAAGTGAGGCCACACACTTTTGCATTCTGTGACTTGGTGACCATAAGCTTTAGGGTGGCAATTTATGTAGCCAATATTCATAGTAAACGTGATTGCATTTTATTTCTTCAAATGCTTACCATTGATTCTGGAGTGCACGAAGGCTTACAGTGCACAAAAGTGGGCACAAGTGCAGTCTGTACTGCTTACCTTCAAAATTTAATCAGATTGACAGAAAAGGTGGCTATGGTATATGGCTTTTTTTTTTTTTATGAAATCCAGGTTTTGTCTGCACAGAAAATTCTGTAATAAGCTGAAGTGGCAGTTAATGTACCAGTACAACTGCTTATCTGTTTGTCTTTATTTCAGTACAGCATTACTCCTTTTCTGATAGCTTGTATTTGTTTGGGTAGCTTCCCCCCTGCAATGAAAGTCAGATGAACCATTTTGTAGTTGCCATGGTGGTACGGCCATGTCCTTAGCCCTGAAGAGCTTGTAGGCTGCAAGGGTGTTAACCAGTATGTCCAGTGTTTAGTCTTTCCTCTCAGCATCTCTCTTAGTGCTGAGACACATGATTAAGATACCATTTGGCAACTAGCAACTAGTCTGCTTTAATTGCTCATGGTATATGCAGAGTAATGTGATTTTTTTTTTTTTTTTTTTTGCCTAACCCTCTTTTATTGCAGGTTAAGCAGTGCTTGCAGACAGTTACTGCAACTTAGCTGCCTAATAATAAACTATTTAAACCACTGTAATTTCATCATGTGTCTGGACCATCAGACACAAGGCGTTTAAGCACCACCTAAAAGGAATCGTCATTTAAAAGCATCAAGTAAGCTCAATATAATTCAAACAAGTACAGTCTGTGTGTATGAAGAGGAGATGTGAATGCTTTTAAGAAGCAGCATCTGCTTTATAAGTATGAACTATGAAAGGCTTCCAAATGTCCCCTCTGTTCGTCAAATGTGAATGTGATCTTCTCCAAGGATGCCATCTGGAGTAGGCATGCTACAGTTGCTGCCTTGCTCAGTGCCATTGTCCTATCTGTGCCTCAGAGTGACTTGTCTTGCTACTGCGCACTCAGTGTTAAGTGATTGTTTCATGAGTTTGTTTGTATGTCAAGTTTGTTGCCAAGCTTTGGCATCATAAAAATACTTTGTTTCCAATGTGCTGTTTTTTGGGCTTTTGTGATGTGAGGGTTTTTTTTCTGCCTTCCCTATAGAAATATTGTGAAAGGAATGAGGAGTCTCCGAGAAATACTACGGACTGTGGAAACAAAATCTACTCAGACCTTCAAAATGGTAAGAGGAATGAGAGTTGGGAAGGTGGGGTAATCTGCTATGCAGGAGGTCTCTCTGTTTATTAACCAGTGCAGTAGGACAAAGATGTATGTGTCCTCACTTGAATAGTTGCTGCCTTTTTTCCTTTTCTTTTTCTTTTGGAAGTGATGTATCAAGTGATGCACTTAATTCAAAGACCTACTCAACTGATACCTCTGAGCCTTCAGACCTGGGCATGATGTGGGTTACTTTTGGGGTTTTCTTCAGTGTGTTTTCTAGCTCTGGTTGAAATAGGGATGTATTTAGACAGTGCTGTCCTCAGGTGATGATATCTTGTATTCTTTCTTGCTTTTCAGTGTCTGCATGCATACCTTTTTGCATTTGCATACAGAAGCATTAAGTGCTTCTGGCTCTTAAACCACCTTTTTCAGACTCAAGTGCTTCAGTGTTTTTCCTGTAAAACTCCCTTTATTACAGTACAGAGGGATTTTTAATTTTTAAAATTTTTGCTAGTGTTGACATTCTGCGTCCTGTTATCCTGAGTGCCTCTGGTAAAGAAATAATGGAGAAAGTTATTTATGTGCCTGTTTAACTTGGTCTAAGAAGTTAAATCTTTTTTTAAGGAATCTTTTAAGAAGTCTTGTCCTGAAGTCACTCAGTAGGTGACAAGGTCAATAGCGTGGAGAACAGCAGCCTTGAGAACATGAATGAAAACTTTGCAGCACTAAAAGCATTGATGTTGATACACTAAACTTGTTTTGTGGTTGGTTCAGCTTTGTGTTTTGTGTAATTCCAGAGAAGTTGGGCAAGAGAGGTGGGCATGGGTTCGCATAGCATTTTGGAGATAGAGAGTGCCAGCTTTCAATAGATGGACCAACTGTGAGTCTAGCTCACATGTAAATACAGACCTAAAATGAAAGTGTTAGCAGAAAGGAAAAAAAGCACTCAAGATCCCCTAGGTTTGTCACATCCATGTATTTTGGAACTTCTGTTCTAGAAAAGAATCTTCTTGTTGCCTTGGAATCACCTTATGTGCCTAATTGAGAATACAGGTGGTGCAGGGAATAAAAAGAGGTGACTTAAATAATTGTTATACTCAAACATCCTTTGTTAACATCCTTTTCCAGATTGAGATCAAAGCTCAGGGAATTTTTCTTGCTCGCCTGTTTTATCATTTTGCTGAATTAGTTTAACCATCTGCTGTTCCTATACTGTGACAGAATGTGGCACTCAAATGTTCCTGTCCCTGTGCAACTGGGGAGAGCTGTACAACACTCCTGGGAGACTTATCCCTAAGGGGAAATCTGAAGATGTTCATCTGATAGTGTTTCCTGGGATTTCCATTTTACTAGAAGTTGTATTTTCATTTTCTTACTTATTTTTAAAGAGCTGTCAAGAGGGCAAAGGGAGGATTGTGCTTAATTAAACAAGTTTTTCAAGCATGAAAGTGGAACACGTGATTTTTTTTTTTTTTTTTTCTGATTTGTGGGATCACAGTGTTCTTCAAGCATAATGATGCTTTTTTTAGCCAAAGGCAGTAATAACATAAATCAGAGTCTCAGCCTGTTCTGGTTTGTTTGGTCTTATTCAAAACAAGAGTGAAGCTAATTTACACAGCTACTGTACTGTATGTTAAAATCAAGGACAGTAAAAGTATTTGGGTCTTGCCTTTTGAAAGGCTTATCAGAAACTGGGCTCCTACTTCTGTGTGAACCAGTAGAAGTCTTTCTGTTGCTGGCATGTTATTTTTCCCTCCCCTCTAAGACTGTAGGAAAAAATATAGGAGAGTTGGTCCCTCAGGGTAGAACTGACTAAATAATTACACACTGAGATGATAAAATGATCCTGGCTAATGTCATGGGGCCCTAGGCCATTTTGCTCATGGTTACTTGCTAAAAAAAGCATAGAAAAGCCTAGTTGGAAACAGAAGGCTTTCTTAACTTGTCACTAGGAGTGCAGGGAAGGTCTTGGAGTTTGCAGGGGGTTGTACATGACAGTATTTCTTTGAGGCACCATCACGCATTCTGGTCACTTTGCCATTTGCTAGGTACATCTATGAAACCTCCACTCCTGGTGTTTAAAGAAACAGCTCACACTACTGTGGTTGCATTTTAGACTAATTCAGTGAATTCTTGTGTGGTGAGGTAGATGAGCCTTGCATCAAAATAAGTTATTTTTCTGAATCTGATTACAGGAACTTTAACCTCAATATGATTTGTTTGGTCCTATAGTAAATAGTCTTTCATTTTCTCAATCATACCTGTCCTGGTATTTAAAAGAAAATGACTTTTGGTGGCCTCATAACACATCTCAAAGTGTAAACTGCATATAAAATACATATGCAGCAGTAAGAGAAGTTCCCAAATAATATTTACAAGTATTAGGACAGAAGAGTTGAAGTTTCACCCTGCTGTTCTGTGCAATATTTACTGTACGGCTTAGATTGCCGTGCTGCTTAGAATTTGCAGAAGATAACCACCCATTTGGATATCTCTGTACTTGTTTGCATGTTCATCTATTTACAATGCAAAAAATTAGAGATTTGTTGGGTCAGGAATGAGGACAAATGCCAAAGACAGTTTTGCAAAGTCAAGTTAACTTCCCCCTTTTGGGCCCAGCTTGCCAGCTATGTATATGAACCAGAAAGCAAGTATTTAAGGATCCTTGGCCACTCAATGGTCAAAAAAGTGTGTGTCATGTCTCAATATAAAGTTCCTAATCCTTTTCTCCCTCCATTATTGCAACAAAAGGAGAGAAGCAGTACTGAGATGAAGCTATGAAAAGCTGCAGGAAGAGTGATTTTAACAGATAAAGCACTGATCTTTTAAACCTAATACAAAAGTAGCCTCTGGGCTGAGACTTGCATACAAAAGTCTGAGCTGAGAATGCGGTGGAGTGCTATCATACTACGATGTAGTAACATTTGTGAGGTTGTCTCAGTGGTCCATGTGGCAATCAGTTGTCTTCATTCACCAAAGCATCCCTTGCTGTCAGGCCTTTTTGATACTTTTTTCCTAGAGCATTGCAACAAGGCCATTTAAATGCAGAAGGCTGGCCTTTTCGGAGCAGGGAGGAAACTGCCACTGCTGTAGACTTCTTAGCAGCTGTTTTAGCTACTCTAGCTTTCTGAAAAGTGGTGCTGTCATTTTGTTGGTACATCTCTTTCCCAAGGTGGAATGTGGGAGAGGTGAATCTTCTGTGTTGGAGAAGGCTTCACTGACGTGTCTTTTTCTGTACTGTTCACTAACCTGTAGACTGCAGCCAAACAGCTAGCCCAAGTACTTCTCCATTCCCTCAGTGAAGACTGTTACTGGAGCCCTTTATCTGATCCACTTCCTGAGTTAATGAACAAGGAAGATCAGTCTTACGTTAGCAATCTTCTTTATCGGAGGCCCGAGCTGTACACAGAAGAGAAGTAAGCTTTCTTATTTATTTCTGTTTATTAGCAGGAGGAAGGACAGTGTTTGAACGCTCTTCAGTGCTGCTAAATTGTCACTGATTCTTGTGGTAGTTTGTGTGTTCTTGTTTTTAACTTCCCATCAAAAGGTCTGCTGGAAAAAAAAAGCATTAAACCTTGAGTGTTTGTTGTTATATTTTTTTCAGAGGAAGGAAGAAAATCCAGGCAAATAGCTGTCTTTGCTATGAAATGGAAATAATCTATTTATAGTTCAGTATAGCTCATCTAGGATATATTGTAGAGCTTTTAATTGTAAGAACCTGCAAAAGAAGGTATTGCCTAGCAAATGAATTATGCATGAGATGTTTCAAGTTACTGCTCCTCTTGTGAAATGAGAGGCTGACAGGATAATTCTTGACCTTCCTCAGAAAAGTGTGTTCTGTCTTTCAGTGCGTACTGTCCTCAAGACAACGTAGAAGAGGCTCTTCTTCTCCTCTTAATGAGTGAATCCATGGTAAGCCAAAAATTAGTTTGTAATACTAATAGCATGAAGGAGTATGAAGCCGTGTCAAGTCTTCTGTCTGATTTTGTTTACAGAATCTTTCCCAGATAAACAGAAGCTAGGATTCAGCTGCTGGACAGGAAATGCTATTTATTGCCTTTTTAGTGTCACTACTTATATTAAATAGAACATCAGTGAAGGGTTTTGGCAGTTGTCAAGTGACTGCGTTCACTGTAGCTGCATGCAGGTTCTGACATTGAAATATGTTGTCAGTAGACTGATGTTTCCATTCAAAACATCTGTGTGGATTTATGGATCAAGAATGAGAGGAAGGGAGCCTTGCCTAAAGCCAGGTGTGATGGTGGTACCCACCCTTTGGCATTTGCAGGATACAATATCCTGCTTACATTCCTTAGTCTGCAGGGATAATATTTTAACTGTTTCAGTCCTGAGTGATCTTTGGCAGTTTCTGGTGCTGATGATACAGGGAGTTTTGTCACACGCAGAAACATCCATAATGAACCACAGTGAAATAATTAGATCTCTTCTATTTACAACATCAGTTGCTTTAAAAAATCCCTTTAAGAGGAAGAGGAAAAAGGTGGAGGAAAAACAACTGCATGGAAAACTGCACAGTAACCTTTGATCATTTTTGTGTTCTGAGGAGATGCAAACATACAGAAAATGTGTAAGGAATGTTT